ACAATACTTGGTGCAGTGACGCGTATTGACAAAGGAAGTAAAATAGACAGGAAATAAAATATATTCAGAAAGAAAGAGAGAGAGAGGTGGATAAAAGCAGAGACAGGCATTCAGTGAGCACTTACAAGTGGAATTTCTCCTCCCAAACAGGATTCAGGTTGCCATAAATGGTTTTCGTTCTCTTCTTTGTCTTGCCGACTTGAACAGTCACGTATGGATCACTAGATCCGGTTTTGTCCTTGGCCTGCAGACCCTGAGCACAAAACACTGCAGGGGAAAAAAGAAATGTTTTGTAAGCCTACCATGCTAAAAGACTGCACGTCTTTACTGTGCGAGAGCAGTGGGACACGTTATGCTGAGAAACCAGGATGCTACCCCAATTACAGCCTCCATTTAACCCCAAGAGCAGCCCGCCTACCAGTGATAGTGATCTTAGCCAACCATTTGGAGGTGCCATCGAGCACGCTCTGTTTCACAGTCTTCATTTGCTGAGCGTGAGCTAATTTGCTCTCACAAAAGACATCTCTGATCAAGTCAAAGATTTCTGGTTTGTTCCGCTCCCGAATCTTCATCCGATCCTTCATGGCCATGATGATGTTTTGGGTTCGATCCTCGGCTCCATGTTTAGAGCTCTTCTCTGCCGCTCCTGGATGTAGCAAGGTATGAATGAGTTATCAAAAGTTTGCAAACCCAGAGGCAATCATATAAAAGTTAAGTGACACTCAACCCCATCACCGTGAAACTAGATTCCCTAGTACAAAGTTTCTTCCCACTGAATGGACTGAAGTTTTCACTCATGTACATCCCATTTCAACCACTACGAACGTAACAGCTAATCAGGGCCACGAGAGACTGCGGGGCCGGAACCCGTTCAGCCTTCACAAGCAAAGGCTGAGAGGGAACCTAGTGACTGTGGCGGGTGCAGAGATCCCACCTCAGGAACACAGCTGGGTATTTGTATCCCTCTGCTGTTTCTACCACGTGAGGCGGGCCAGTAGGGGGTGCTCCTGCGTCGAGCCGCCCACCTCCCTGCGCCCGACCACCTTCCAGGCTCAGAATGCCTCCCTAGGGGCGCCTTATGTCCGGCCAACCCCTCTCCCGGAGCACACTCACTAGTCTGGGGGTAACGTGCCGCCACCACCCCAAGAATGGACTGTCTCATGGCCCTGTGTCCTTGGGGTAACACAGGCCTAAAGTCCCACGGGCACTCAACCCAGTACAGGCACTTGGGGTACTTCCCCAAGTCCGGGGGCAAAAAGGTATAGTCTCCCTTAGTCCACAGACCTAAGGGGTCTCTTAGGCATAATTTAGACCCACCCCTCAATAAGTCTCCCACACCAGTCAAAAAGGAGAACTTTATTGATTACAGGGGGTAGGGTAAACTAGGGTACAGGATAGAGCAATATCTAGAAATCCTAAAGAGCAAACAGTCTGGCTGTGGTAGCCTTTTGATTACGCATCTGTGATACTTTCAGCTAAATATCTAATCAGATTGAGTAGCTTACTCACAAGCATCTTCCAAAGGCAGGTGAAGTTTCCCTTTGGAGGCAGGCGGTTCCTAGCTCGTGAGTTTGGGGGGAGAGAGCCAGTTTCAGATGTTAAGGCTTCTCTGTCCCCTGCCTGGCTGCTGCGTCACCTCATGGCCGGAGAGGAGAGACCGCCTCCTTCCCCGTCCTAACTTATATAGCCCCTGTGACCTCATTCACCTGGGCCAGCGGAGGTCAGCCCCAGTTGGCTGTCAGCCAACCAATCTGAAATGCATCACCTGTTACCGGGCAGATTCCAGCTCCCCAGGTAGAAACCCCTTACCCAGGTAAGTGATGCAAGTCACGTAAGCAGAGGGAGCAGGTTTCCCCCTCCCTCAGGAATGCAGCCAGCTCCAGTTCCCTAAAGAGACAGGCTGAGGGTGTGGTCCCCTGTGTGCTGGGCCCACCCTAACTGAATGGTCACAGCACAGAGATTTAAATCACAGTGTCACAGGGCAGAGATTATTGGGGAGAAACCAAGGTGGCTTTCTGCCACAGTGACCATCTATAAACTCACTAGTGGAGACCAGAAGGGTTTGGGAGAGATCTTGTTTCCCCGAGCGCCCCCCCCATAACAAGGAATAACGGCCACAAGTTGTTGGAGAGGAGGTTTAGACTAGACATCCGTAAGAACTACTTCATGGTCAGGGCGGCTAGGACCTGGAACCAACTTCCAAGGGAAGTGGTGCTGGCTCCTACCCTGGGGGGCTTTAAGAGGAAGCTTGATGCCTACCTAAGCTGGGATCATTTGAGCCCAGTTTTTTCTCCTGCCCAGGCAGGGGGTCGGACTTGAAGATCTACAAGGTCCCTTCTGACCTGACTGCTATGATTCTATGTCAAAATTGCTCGCTGCCCTCCTTAAAACTCAACTTGTGTGAACTCTATGAAAATACTCGACACAGGTTAGGTGCCTGGCGTGCTGAACCTCTACTGTATGAGCCAATTTTGTCTTGCTTCCAATTGCTGTTTCACCTTCACCTTGGATTGCCAGCTCTGGGCTAGGCACTGTCTGTTCTGCATGAATACAGGGCTTGGCACAATACGATCTTCATCCATGACTGAGGCTCTTGGATAATGCAAATAACTTACAGCAAAGTTGCATGAGTGCAGTCAGATACCGCCTTCCAGTAGAAAATGCTGTAGCTCTGGATTCCAGAAAACATTTTAATTTTGCCACTAAGGCACAAAAGAGACAGATAGTAAACACGTTTCCTCTGCAGAGAAACACTTTCTGCTCTAAATCCAATTTGCAACTTCATCCCCCTTTAGACACTTTCCATGTGGGATTTCATGTGTGATCCAAAACTTATGACGAGATTTGCGATGAAACAAGTCTGCTTTCCAATGTTCCATCGTTCAAAACAGGTACGTTTCACTTTTTATTTTTAAGTTCATGCAAACTGCCTAAACTTTCCAAAATCTCCCTCTGAGACATAGGTTGCTATAGCAATTCCTGTGTGAAAGGCAGTAAACCAAACTGAAGGGGAGATACCTAAACCCACAAGAGAGAAAGGTGCCAGTGTAGTACCATACTGCGCACTGGTCACAAATACATGGCGCCAGCATCAGAACAACATCTTTGAAGGTACCCATCTACATTGGGAAACCAAGCACATTGTACACATCTGTACACCTCCAAGAACCTATTTCATAGAGAAGTAAGGCTGGAAAGGACCCCAAGAGATCACCTAGTGCAACCGGAGATCGGACCTGCAAACCAAAAGCTTCCTACAAGCACAAGAGGGTGGTGATGCTCGTAGGAATTAGTGCATCCAAGTACCCTTTTTTTTAGTCATGCCAAAGGCTCATGAAAATTCAGTGCCGTTTTAACATTGGATTTGGGGAACAAATACAAAAAAAAGTGATTAACAAGCTAGTATACCTTAAGGCAAATGACAGAACAAGGAAAAATGGGCAGCAAGGGAAGTTGAGGTTAGATATTAGGAGGAAAATCTCACTGGGAGGGTGGTGAAGCACTGGACCAGACTTCCCAGAGCAGTGGTGCAGTCTCCATCCTTGGAGGTGTTGAAGACCTGGGTAGACAAAGCCTTGGCTGGGATGATGCAATTGGGGCTGGTCCTGCTTTGGGCAGGGGGCTGGACTAGATGTGACCTCCTGAGCTCCCTTCAACCCTCATTTTCTATGATTCTGTGACATAAGGCAGCAAGTAAGTGGATCCAAGCCTTTGTCTAGACATAATTTTTGCAGAGGTTCAACTGAGGACATGTTTTTACAAGATGCAGTCAGATCAACACAAAACCCTATGTGGGCATTCAGATCCATCTGAGAGCCAGATTGCTTTAGCTTGCTTCATTTTTACTGGATTCACTTAAGCAGCAATAAGCCACTCAACACTAGGTACACTATCTGTGCATAATCCTGTGCTTGTAACTAAATTGCTTTAAAACGTTCGTTTAGCTAAATCGATGCTGGTACATGCCTGGAGAAAGCCAGTGGGTGACAAGGACACCTGTTAATGTGAAATTTAGCCAAGCTCTTCTTGAAGCAAACAGGTGATGATCTTGATATAACACGGGTATTCTGGATCACGTAAAACTTTCAGAGACCGGGGACTGAGATGAACAATAGGAATGTGTGCACGTAAAAACCCAGCAATCTCAGCAGGAAGGCGACTGACTAATGGACTAGAGACACTTAGGCTCCCAGGGCTGTCAGGCGAACACCTGAAATTCACTGCAATAAAAACACGAAACTCATAATTTCCTCAGTCCTACAAAGAATAAAAAATGTATTTCCTTGGAATAGACTGCAGTCCATGGAGTTGCAAGGGTTCATTAAGGACGCCGCATACTGAGGCATATTTTCAGAGTGAGACTTGATCTAAAACAGACCATACCTTTTCAATACCTGTTAATTATTTTTCATTGTACTTCCCTAGAGGCTTATTATCCTGCATTTTATTTAGTACAAGAAAGGCTTTACTGAGACACAGCCTCAGAGCATCCAATCATTGGTTGAAGACTAAATTAAATAAAGTGTGAATTAATTATGCAATCCCAGCTGTCTCCACCTCATTGGTGAAGAACCAGCATTTTTTCACATTCCTCCCAAAGCAAGGTCTCATATCAGCCAATCGTCCCACTACAGACCTAGCATTTACTAAAAGGGAGTGAAGTGGAAAGGGTCCTTAGGGCAATGCTTTGAACTTCAAACACAAAGCACTACCGCAGCATAACCAGGCTCAGCCCTGAGATGTGCTCTCTATCCCTTGCATGCGCCTACACAAAGTTCTGAGGTAGTTGCAAAACAGAATTGGACCGTGTTTTCAACCAGTTGTTTGGGGTCTTGAAATCTAAAACGAACCGACAGCTTGCTGACTTCACGGGAGGTCAGAACAAACTGCAAACTTTAAGGCATCGGGGGCAAAAGTGAAAGCAGCTTCACCGGGGTTTTCAGAGGAAATCCCTGACCATGCAGCACACAGCTATGAAGTGATGGTGTAGCCATGATGGTCCAAAAATTATATGAGACAAGGATTTCTGAGGGTGAGATCTTTTACTGGCCCAACTGCATAGTTGGGGTAGAGTGAAACGGCTTTTGAATGCAAGACATCCTCTCTCATCAGTACTGAAGACCATCTCTCACCTCAGAGACCCGACAAGGGATGTCTCGTTTTGAAAGCTTCGCCAACTCTACCCCAACTATGCAGTTGGTCCAAAAAAAGATCTCACCTTAAGAAATCCTTGCCTCTTGAAATGAATCATGGCACTGGTCAATGTGTGAGTGGATGCAGGAGAGGAATAAAAAAAAAAATAATCTAGCTATGATGATGATTCACCATCCTGGAATCAAGATCACGGCAGAATCATAACACATTAAGGATATTGGCAGTTAAATAAGGAAAAAATGAAGAATGCAGTACAGACAGTGTACAAGACAGCTGTTCAGTGGGAGGATAATGCTTAGATATTATTTGTTCTTGGAACTTAAAATAGACATTCAAGTCGAAAATACAGAGATCTTTACTCATTCGGTGCAAATATTTCCCAATACCAAATTCTGGAAGCAAGTGTGTGCTCAGCTTGTAGTGCTATAACCACCAGTCAGCCTGGGAACCGAAACATTTGTCATGCTGCAAACATATCCATTACATTAAACAATCCATCCTCAGAGCCAGCTTCTGGGGCTGTAACATTATCAAAGTCTTAAAAGCTTCTTATTCAGAAACAACAGTCTTGGCTTCCAGTCTGGAAACAAAACAAAAAAAATCTGGAGGACTTTGAAAGTTAGTTTAAGCTCTGGGAGTCAAAGCAGCGCTAGAAACCAGAAATGCGTGCTGCTGTCCTACAGCTGACTTGGACACTGTGCCATCCAGTCAGACACCAACAGAGTCCTGGTCATAAACGGGCCAGACACGATGCATCCAAGGGTGTAGAGGAAGGTGGCTGATGTGATTGCAGAGCTGCTGGCTGTAACCTTTGAAAACTTCTGGTGACTGGGAGAGGTCCCAGATGATTGGAAAAGGGCAAAGCTAGTGTCCTTTCTAATCCATTTCTAAGCATTGGGAGAAGGTGATCAGGAAGAGTCCACATGGATTCACCAAGGACAAGTCATCCCTGAGCAACCTGATTGCCTTCTACGATGAGATGACTGGCTCTGTGGATGTGGGGAACCTTGATTTTAGCAAGGCTTTTGATATGGTCTCCCACAGCATTCTTGCAAGTAAGCTAAGGGAGTATGGACTGTCTGCTGGATAGAAAACTGGCTGGATTGCTAGGCTCAGAGGGTAGTAATCAATGGTTCAATGTCTACTTGGCAGCCAGTATCAAGTGAAGTCCTGGGGCTGGTTTTCTTCAATATCTTCACCAAGGACCTGGAAGATGGGATACAATGCACCCTCAGCAAGTCTGCAGATGACACCAAGCTGGGGGGAGTAGTAGACAGACTGGAAGGTAGCGCTAGGATTCAGAGAGAACTTGACAAACTGAAGGATTGGGCCAAAAGTAATCTCATGAGATTCAACAAGGACAAGTGTAAAGTCCTGCACTTAGGAGGGAGCAATCCTATGCACTGGTGCAGGCTGGGGGTGACTGGCTGGGCAGCAGCTCTGTAGAACAGGACCTGGGGGTGACAGGGGATAAGAAGCTGAACAGGAGCCGGCAGTGTGCCCTTGGTGCCAGGAAGACTACCAGCATCCTGGGCGGCATCGGCAGAAGCGATGCAGGCAGATCCAGGGCAGTGAATCTTCCCCTGTATTGAGCACTGGGGAGGCCACATCTGGAGTCCTGTGTCCAGCTGTGGGCTCCCCACTACAGAAAGGATGTGGACAAGTTGGAGAGAGTCCAGTGAAGGACACTGAAAATGGCTAGGGGGTTGGGGGACAGGACTTGAGGAGAGGCTGAGGGAAATGGGCTGACTGAGTCTGCAGAAGAGAAGACTGAGGGGGCTGAATAGCAGCCTTCACCTCCCTGTAAGACAAGGAGCAATGGGCTCAAGCTGCAGCAAAAGAAGTTGAGGTTGGATATTAGGAAAAACTCTCTCACAAGGAGGGTGGTAAAACATTGCATCAGGCTCCCCAGAGAAGAGGTGCAGTCTCCATCCGTGGAGGTTTGGAAGCCCCAGGAGGACACCACCTTGGCTGGGATGATGTAGTTGGGGCTGGTCCTGCTTGGAGCAGGGGGCTGGACTAGATGTGACCTCCTGAGGTCCCCTCAACCGTCATCTTCTTTGATAATCTTGTGCACATCATCTTTTAACTGCACCTGAATGTCCTGTCTACACTGACCAATAAATATCATTACCCACACTGCCCCCTTAGTCTCCACCTACTACCTCACTTACCACAATGCCTT